CGTTTTTCGATTTATTGTTAGGTATTCGAGTGCGTCGGCTCGAGAAATCGCCGTAGGTTAGTTTTTCGGCTTTTCAAGGTGAGTGGTACTATTTTTTCTTTGAATTTGTAAGCTCATGTTTAGAAAATGAGATGTTATAGATATGTTATCATATAATAAATGACATTTTATTTGCATAAAACTAGATCGAGCATTTACTGTCATTTTGTGTATTTGAAATAGAAGATTCTTTTTTGTTTCGGTTTGAACTTATGGAATGTAAAGGGATTTGTGAAACCTTTTGTGAAAGACTTATGAGGAGTTTTTGAGTTTGAATGTGATTTTTGAAGGGTTATATATCCGTTTGCGAAATGATTTCTGAATATTGGTGTTTTTTTTATTGTGGATTGGATTTGCTGGTATGGGAGGATGTGGATTTTGATGCTTAGTGTCTTTTTGAACCCAATGAGGGGTTATGAGTATGCACATACTAGTCTAGGATATCCTTGTGGGCGGAGCCACCAGCTTATAGTAGGTGGAAACCTTGCCAAGGGGGGAATCTTGGTCGTCTTTCACGGGGTGTTATCTGTGATCATAGTTAGATTTCTGAGCATGAGATTGGCTAATGGAATGGACCATTAGCGTGTGCTTTTTGATGAGATTGACCAATGGAATGGACCATTGGCATGTGCTTTTTGACGAGATTGGCCAATGGATTTGACCATTGGTTTCTTCTTTGATATTATTAATTGGAATGAGTTTTCCTATTGTGAAAATGTGATATTTAAAGTAGCATATAACGTATTTTGAACCTGGAGTTTGTTATATGTTGGGTTAATTGAGCTTTCGTTTGATCTTATAACTGTGTGCATAGTGGGTGCTCGATCTACTTAGAAGAAATGTATTACTCACTGAGCTGTGATAGCTCATTCCTTTCATCTTACTTGTTTTTCAGGTTCTTCACCGAGCCGCAAGTAGAGTGTGAGAGTTTCGATATCGGGGTGGACATTTTGATAGTTGGGACTTTTTGGTACGAGTTATGCATAGATGTGGAACTTAATGTATTAGCTTGTTTCTGGTTATGTACTTAGCTTTTTAATGGATTGTAGTTAACTCTGATATTGTAACCAAATAAACTCTATATCATGTATATATGTGGATGCATATATTATGATATTAGATGAGTTTTGGTTATGTTTAGGCCGCGTTCTTTGGTGAAAGGATGGCGTGTCATGCCCTTGTTCTTGTTGAGTTTGGGGTGTGACAGTGGTGGTATGAATTATGTTGTGCCATAATCCACACGTACCAAAGTAATCCTTGAGATCAGTTTTCACACGAAAACAAGGAAAAATGTACGTTTTGCTTTGTTTACCAAATCAGATGACAACCTACCAGCACTGGGTTCCATGGAGAGCGCACGAAATTTGAGGAAAATAAAGAGAGCTCCAAATTTTTGCCCTAATCTAATCTAAAGCAGTCTCACCTGGTTAAAAACTTGCTTGATACTCCCTCGAATGAAAACTCGCAACAATGGACTCGAGAGACTATATAGGCAGAGTGAATGGAAAGAATGGCTGCGAGAGAGAGGCTTCTTTCATTTTGTATTTTTGGGGCCACAAGAGAAAAGCTTCAGTGGAGATAAAAAAAGTGAGCTGATTAGAAGCAGAGATTTAAGGCAACGACTGAAGCCAAAGTCTCGAGAGCTCCAAATTTTTGCACTCCTTCCAGGAAAATGGTTTATGTTCAGGGCTACGTTTATTTCGCGAAAAATGAATAATTTATAAAATATTTTCCTACGCTTGGTCACTTGTATCACTTGAAATAATTAATTAATAGAAAATATTTTCACTAATGACAGTAATTCATGTATAAATATTTTCTGAAATTTTCTTTTCTCGTTCGTTCATTTTTGTTAGCGATACGAACGATTATTTTCAGAAAAATATTTTTTAAATTATTCATTTTTCGCGAAACGAATGCACCTTCAGATTAAATTTTTTAAGTCCTACACTTACCTACTGTCGTGTAATTATGTTGCCCGAACTTGCCCTGTGTAAACTGTCCTATTGTCGCGTACTAGAGGATGTCAAAGGAACTATGCCTATCCCCTTCGCTGTGGATTAGAGAACCATTAACTAATTTAACATTGGACATAAACTCGTGAAAGTCAAAAAAGATACCTAAAAATCCAGTCATATGATCGGTAGCACCTAAATCAATGACCCAGGGGAGAGAGCCAAAACAAAGACACGCTATTGCATTACCTGTCTGGACAAAAGTAGCTATGGAGGAGGACTGTGAAACCGGTTGGGAAATCTGAAACTGATCGTACCTAACAAATTCCTCCTTTGTCATTTTGATCACCTTTCTTCCTTCAGAAGATTGCGAAGAGATACCAGACTCTACTGCATTGGCTACATTAGCCGCAGCTTGTTGAGGGGGCCTTCCATGAAGCTTATAATAGAATCTCTGAATGTGTCTAGGTAAACCACAGTGATGAGAAGTCCGGACAAATCCGGTATTACCCCATGTGTCACTAGAAGTGTTACTAGATGAGGGTGGTTGGCCTCTACCAAAACCGCGGCCGCCACCACCACTTCAGCCACCACTCTGACCTCGACTACCACCGCAATTTCCTTGGGGTGCCAAGGCTGAGCTATCACTCGTAGAGAATGCATATTTAGATGGTTCACGTGAGACCCTCAAGACATGAGCAAACATCTCTGTGAGTGAAGTTGCCTTATCTTCTCCAAGTATTTGGGAATGGACTGCATCATACTCTGGTCCTAGTCCTCCCAAAAAACCCATAAACAACTAATTGCTCTCGCTGCTCTTGCATCTTCTTAACATCAGAGGTAATGGGTAGCAAAGAATTAAGCTCCTCAAACATCTGTTTAAAATTAGCAAAATATTGAGTAAGTGGCCGACCCTTTCTATCAACCCTATAAAATCTTGGGATACTTCATAAATCCTTGAAAGATTATTTTGTCCAGAATAAAGGACATTCAAGTAGTCCCCCAACTCCTTCATTACATCAATATGTGTAACCAAATCCACAACTTGGGATTCCATGGAGTTCAACCATTCAACCAAGAATTCTGGCGTCCACAGTTTCCCAATTTGTATCAGAGACAAATTTGTTACCTGTTAGATGATTATGTTGCTCTCTCCCAGTCAATACTAACAACACGATTTCCCTCCATTGCTAGAAATTGGTGATACCTTATAACTTCTTCCCTGTTAAACGACTAAAGGATGTAGACACAACCTCAGCCACTACACCTTTATGCTCCGCCACAACCCGATGTGTACCAATAAACACAAATTTTCGGCACAATAATTAGATAGAAATCCCACCAACTAGAATTCAATTCAACAGATTACCGCAATTTGTTTCAAACAGTCCAAATCTCCACGACACTTCAATCAAATTCATCTATTTTATCAAAGGGATAAGTGCATTCAAAGTCCTAAAACTTGTCACGAAAGTGCAATTGAGTCCTAAAACTTTCATAATGTGCAATTAAGTCCTAAAACTTGTTAGGAAAGTGCACTTGAGTCCTAAAACTTTTAAAAAGTGCAAACAAGTCCTAAAACTTGTCACGAAAGTGCAAACAAGTCCTAAAACTTGTTAAATTTGTTCAACCAAGTCTTTCAATTGATTATACTTTTTGAAAGTTTTAGGACTTGATTGCACCTTCGTGATAAGTTTTAGGATTTGATTGCACTTTTTGAAAGTTTTAGGACTTGATTGTACTTTCGTGACAAATTTTAGGATTTGATAGCATTTTTTTAAAGTTTTAGGACTCAATTGTACTTTCTTGACAAGTTTTAGGACTTCTATTGCACTTATCTCTTTATCAAAACGTACACCGAAACCGTATATTACGCCCAAACAGAAAGCACCTCATTCAACATCAATTTCGAGGTGAATACGGTCAGTAGCTCCATCAAGCAGGCTGCTGCAATTTTTTTTTTAAGAATATAGAAAACAACAAACACATGAACGAATCCCTAGAGGACCAAGGAGCTCAAATTGGCGACCACAGAGCTCAGATCAGCTCGCAGGGAGGGACGCGAGCTTGACCAGTGTCAGATCTTGGCTGGTCGACGTTGGGTCTGGGATGAACGAGACCACACAATGCCAGACAACACCTGATTTGAGCTGACGATGCTTGCCAGCGTCAGATCTTACTCAACAAGGCTGAGCGACGCCGGTTTTGGTTTGGACGACACTCGCCAGCATCAAATCTAGACTCAGCAAAGCTGGGCAGTGCTAAATTGGGCTGGATAATGCTCGTCGATGTCAAATCTGAACTCGCAACGACTAGATTTTTTTTTATGGCTCTAATACCATGTAGAAATTGATATAGAACAAAAGAGGAGCGTAAAAAACTCATTAGAGTTTGTCACTCCTCACACTTTTATTATTAATTAAATAACACTAATGACCATCATAAACCTCTCACACTTTAACGTTAACAATAATAAAAAAATCATTTCAGTCCATCAAATGATATCTACTTGCTGGTCCGTCGGGCCAGTAGATGACCGGGTCCACAGTACCCGCAACCGGCCGTCCTCGCTGCGCGGCCGTTATTGATCAGGACGTCGCAGTTCAGCAGTAGCACCATGTTGCCCATGACCCGAGCTTGGGGCATCGTCTCCATGGCCCATTTGCAGGTTCAGGTTGGTTATTCCGATATACCTGAGCGTGTTCTTTAAACATGCACAAACAAGGGAAAAAACTCCCAGTCGCAGTTCAGCAGTAGCACCATGTTGCCCATGACCCGAGCTTGGGGCATCGTCTCCATGGCCCATTTGCAGGTTCGGGTTGGTTATTCCGATATACCTGAGCGCGTTCTTTAAACATGCACAAACAAGGGAAAAAACTCCCAGCTTTGAAATATCTGAATTCATTCAGCAACCTAATCTATATAACCTTCCAATCTCCAATCAGGTCCGTCTTTAACATTGGAGTTCGAAGGAAACTGGAAAACTCGTGAAGTTCACAGATACAGTAGGGAGACAAATATCATCCTTCAACTCAAGAAAACGATAATCTCAAACTTGTTCTTCAACAAAAGATGGAGGACCAAAGCCAACCTTATTCTTTCAATCTACTTATCAGCACAGACAGAAAAAGCTTTGCTTTCAATTACAAATAAGCAAGATGCGTAGCATCAAGATCACCAAAGTCCAGATAGACAATAAGAAGGATTTCAAACAACACCGCCCCAACTTCAAATCTTCAGCTCCGCCGCAGACCAAGACTTCAGCTTCGGCATCTTTCGCGGATTGTGCAGAGTCGTCTTCAGCGGAAGCAACACAGAGTAGCCCCTGCTCAGTTAAAATGAATAGATTGCCGTTAACATTGAGGTGGACAAACGGGTAGAGATTGTTCACGATTGCCGCGGTCATCTGTCTGGATAAAAACCGGCAGGCTATAGACATTCGAAGCTCTGGAGCTCAAAAAGATGATATAAAGATCATGCCAGTCCTACTATTCAAATTACGAATTTATTCCAATGCTAACTTCAGAATTAAACTCCGGAGACTTTTCCCTTACCTAAATTCTTTGAAAACCCAACCAAACTTCAAGTTTGTACCGGACTATCAACTGGTTCATGAAATTTGCTGAGCTCAAGGATCAGCTATCATATGAGCTTTTTGAAACAGAGTAGCAATAGCAACTACCTTTGAATCACTAATTTAGGACACTGAATAGAACCCACGCGATAAATACAACAGAATCATATGATTTCGAGCTTCGGCAAAGATTAATTCATGCAAAATCGATGTGCTTGCATCTGATTGAAAGCTTTGAAGGGGAAAGAGATTGACAACTCCAGCAAATGAGCATACCATAACCAGAAAAGAAGCGTACCTCTGCGATCAAGAAGCGAAGCCAGAAGAATATAGAGTTGCAGCGGGGAAGATCTGGTTGCTCGCGTGCCAAACGACACGCTGCCAAAACTGTTCCTATCAGCCTTGATCCTTCGTCAAGCAACTTGGTCTGCCTCAAAATTGAGGTCACAGAGGCGCGGCGTCGAAGCTGGAGGCGGCGAGGATCGGCCGTCGGGGCCGGAGACGATGAAGACCGAGACGAGTCAAAAAAAAAAAAAAGAACGAAGCCAGAGAGAGATAGAGATGGCTCAGATCCGACACGAGGGGAAGAGAGACGGACGGAGGTGGGCCATGGCGGCGTGGCGGCGAGCGCTGCGGCCGCTTGCGAGGGCCGAGATCGGTGGTGGCATGTCTCTATTCATCATGCACTTGCACAGTGCCAGGGTGATTCAACCTAATGTTCTAAATGGGTCATGAACCCGAACAATTGTTTTTTTGGGTCATAAATATACCTTTCATATTAAATTGACCCATTTTGACACCTCTACGTAGTGCCAAGGGCCCACTCGGAGCACCTCCCCGTCGATCAAGCAATCCCAAATCTCATCCCATTTTGTTTGAGAAGCTTGTCCCACTGGTTCACCAGGAGGCAGCTCATAGCCTCCGGCCAGTTCCACATCCAGCGTGAGACCGTGATCAAATCTACCCATCTCCTGCAATTTTTCCACTTGAGTCGCGAGGCCACTCACCTGGTTCTCCAACGTGAGATGAGAAAAGAAATGCCCCTCTTCCACTTTTCGTCCCACCTTGTGGACTCGATCCTCCAGCGACGCTGCATTTTGCATCCACGCATCGACTTCTCTCTTCCTTTTCTTCCCCGGTCTCCTCTCTTCCTGCTCTAGTTCCAAAACTATGTCAGCCTTCCTTGCCGACACCATTCGCATATTCATTTCCAAAGCGTCCATCTTCTCTTTGACTCCGCTGACGTCGGTGACCTTTTGAACGATGAGACCGATGGCATTGTTGGCGATTCCCAGAATAGTATCCATTGGAAGACTGCCATGAGCATTGAGGGAAAAATGTTGTCGATTAGTATTCGATGTGCAAAACTCTTTAGCTTTCAGCATTTGTGCTTTGACTTTTATCGGATAATCGACTACTTGAGCAGATATTTCCGAGTGTTAATTGTTAATTAGTGTTCGAGGTGCACGACAATAATGAATATGGAAGGACTCTAGAGAAAGGGAAAAGCTTTTGGCGCAGTTCGGGGCAACGAAGCCATTCGAACTAGGTTTTTTTTTCCTTTAATAAACATCGTTTTACTAGCTACTGGATCGATTATGCGAGCAATACAAGATAGTTCGATTGGGTCAAGGACTTTAACAAAAGAGGAAATCAACAAAACAAATACACAGAAAACAGGACCGGAGAGAGTGAAAAACGTACTGAATCTGGTTTACCAGAAGCAAAAGAGGTTAGCCAATCATTCTTATTGACTAGACCACTGATCTGACAGCTATTCTGACTCTGTATAACGCAACTTGAGTTGTAAAGTCTTGTGCTATGGAGGCATAAGCAGGTAAAGAGGACATGCGTTTGGATTACTAATTGGTGGATGCCAGGCAATCCGAAACTTTTTTGTGTCGTTCCGTAACGAAAGTGTATTGGAATGACGTGATTCTTTTGGGCAAGAAAAAGAAACAGCAAAACAAACATAACAAAGTCTCCTATCATGGCGATTTGCTCAAGAATTAACAGATCTACAAAAGAGAGAACAGACAAAAGACCCAACACAGGATGTAAATTTTCTTTTCGTTCCTTGTGCGAAATAAATCAAGAAAAACTAGGCATGACAATTTACCAGTACCAGTTACACGGAGAGCGGAGGGAAATTTAGGGAAAAAAAAAATACAGACAGCTTTTTCACTAATCTAAAGCAGTCTCACCTGGCGAAAACTTGCTGATAACCCTCCAAAGTAAGGAATGGCTGCGAGAGAGGAAGCCGAAGAGTAAAATGATGAGGCATATAGAAGCAGAGGAAGCTTCGCAGTCGCTGTGCTCACTTAAGTCTTGACGCGTGGGCTCTTGGGGGGGCCACCTTCTTGGAAGATGGTTTTCGTCATGAAATTTGTAAGCCCTCTTCCCATTTTCTGCTTTATTATCACGTAATCACGCTGCATGAATGGTTACCCTTGCATGATTGTCCCAGTCCGTCAAACGACAGCCTCGTCATCAAGAGTCTTGCGTACGCATTCATGGAAATAGCCAAAAGTCTTTGGTTAACACATTACTGGCATTTCCCCTCCTCCACCGCCGCCGCCGCCCCGCACCACCCCCCAACCCCACACCACCACCCCCCCCCCCCCCCCTGCCTCCAAAGTGATAAAACATAAAAAATTCTAAACTATGCTTACTGTGACATATTTATTTTGAACTTTTTTTCTTGTGACATCAAAAACTCTCAACTATGCTCACCGTGATACATTTATCCTAAACATTTTCTTGTGACATAAAAAATCGTAAATTTGTACCTCTGTGACACATTTATTCTCCGTCAGAGTTCCATTAAATGATTTTTCGACGAAAACAACGTCATTTTTATTTGGGAAAAAATCACCAAAAACCCCAAACTTTACCACTTGTGACACATTTACCCCGAACTTTTTTTTGTGCCATGAAAAACCCCAAACTATGCAACTTGTGACACATTTACCCCAATATACTGTAGCCTAGGGCATTTTAGTCTTTTTCCCTTTTTCTATTTTTTTTCTGTTTTTTTTTCTTTTTTCCGGCGGGGGCTGCCCTCGCCGGCGGGGGCTGCCCTCGCCGGCGAGGGCGGGACCCTCGCCCGCCCGGGCGAGGGTCGCCCTCGCCGGCGTTAGGCGAGGCGCCCTCGCCTCGGGGCGTCGGGCGAGTGGCCCCTCGCCCGCCCGGCAAGGCTAGGGCGCTCGCCTCGCCGGCGTCGGGCGAGGGCTTCCTCCCCGCCCAAGCGAGGGCGGCGTCGGGCAGCCCTCCCCGCCCGGGCGAGAGCGGCATCGGCGGCCCTCGCCGACAGCCGGCGAGGCGGCCCTCGCTCGCAGCCGGCGGGCGACCTCGCCCGCCCGGGCGAGGGTCCCTCGCCCGACGCCCGGCGAGGCGAGGGCTGCCCTCGCCCAACGTCGGCGAGGGTAGCCCTCGCCTGGGCGGGGCGAGGGCAGCCCCTGCCGAAAAAAAGAAAAAAAATAGAAAAAAAAATAGAAAAGGGGAAAAAGACTAAAATACCCTAGGCTACAGTATATTGGGGTAAATGTGTCACAAATTGCATAGTTTGGGGTTTTTCATGACACAAAAAAAAGTTCGGAGTAAATGTGTCACAAGTGATAAAGTTTGGGGTTTTTGGTGGTTTTTTCCCTTTTTATTTTATTTAAGCCACGTGTGGGTATCATGTCAACACTTTTGGCTTTTATGGCATCCTTTTGTCTAAAAGCTTCTTTTATGGCATACATTTAAGTAAATTTTTAACGGTTCTCATTAACAAAACTTTGATGTAGGGTAAATATGTCACACGGAAACAAGTTTGGAATTTTTTGCGTCACAGAAAAAAATTTTAGTGGTTTTTGCCCTTATAAAATATATTCGAGACTATTGCTTGTCCTCTTTAGTGATATCACATGGCATGAACCTAGGGGTGAGTAAAAGGAATCGCTCGGACCGAACTGGCTAATTTTGGGCTGTTTTCGGAGGCACCGGTCCAGTTTTCGGTTCCCAGTTCCATGGGTGGAATTGCCCACGCGGACCAATTAGATCGGAACTATTTTTTTTTTAATTTCTTACAAATTTGTAAAAACTTTATAAGGCCTAATCCTTCACAACACAACTCAAGCACTCTCTTGCACGCATGACTCACTCTCTCCCTCTTTGAACAAAAACCCTAATCTCAATTGATCTCCTGCTCGATTCGCTTGCCTCACTCTCTCTCAACCATCGCCTCCCTCTCATGGTCTCTCTCGACTCTTACTTGAGTCGCCCATGTCTCTCTCGCTCGACTCTCGCCTCCCTCTCTCGATCTCACTCTCTTGCTTGACTCTTGCCTCCCTTTCTTGCTCTATTTTTGGCCGATCGCGATCGCGATCGCAATCGCAATCGCAATCGCATCTTATCGAGGTAAATAATCAACGCACTGTTTTTCTGAGAACTTGTTCAGGAAATTGCATATTTAAAGTCTCTTTGTGGTTTGAAATTGAAACTTTCTTGCGCTTCTAAAAGTCTCGAGGTAAATAATCAACGCACTGTTTAAACCTTGGCCTGACTTGAGGCAAGAACTTGTACGGTGCTCCCGTCATGCTCTGCTTAACATTGTACATTGGTTTTCGTAGAATCTTTCTAGTCAAATACTTGCTTGTTGTGGTTCAGCCATTGCAAAGGACACCTGATCTGGCTTCTTTTATGAACAAAAATGCCTGAAATATCTGAAGAAATTGAAGAATCAAATGGAAGTGTTGAAAACGAACATGCAACCCGTTCCATTGGCCTACCCGAAAATAGAACCGGATTGTGCCCAGTTCCCTATTCTAGAAATTGGGAATCGAATCATTTGGGAACTAATCACTCCTACATGAACCAATGTTTCTGCAAGATAGGACGATTGTGTAATGAAGTGAGTTTTGCATTTATTTTGTGAAATATCAACGATTCAAAAAATATTTCCTTAAAAATAATTTGTCAGTATCGCTTACAAAATGAACTAAAGAAAAATATGTTAATCGGCGACGAAACATGTTTACACGTAGATTATTGTTACTTAAATTATTTTTCATTGATCAATAATTCAAAGCGCTATAGACAATTATTCTTAGAATAATGTTCTTCAATTTCAAGTGAAATAACGCACCGTCGTTTGAAAAACGAAATCCCTCTTATGTCATGAAACCTGCTTATTGCATTATACCCTTTTCATATGTTGCAAAACTACAAGCGACAATTTACCCCGAACCGAGAAGGAGAGAGACACATGATTTCACTAATGAGAGAGAAGAAGAGAGTAAGTTACTGTGCCTGGCATAATTTGGCATATCTTGTGTCGGTTCGATCCAGAGACTAGAAGCGAAATTGAGGGGAATGGTAAAGTGAGAAGCACAAGAAGCAGAGAAAACTTCACGGGGCTCATGGTTCTGAGATGCCTCAAAGGTCAAATTAAAAGTCTTCAGGGATGAAGATTAGTTAATTAGTTTAAGCAATTTCTTAGCTTCTTTTCTTTTTGTTTTGCTTTTGTCTTATTCACAGGGCTCATGATTAGCTTAATTTGAGGCAAAGACGCAATTGGCGGTCGTGTGGTGGCTGACTCAACATGCAATGGTCTCCATGCGGTGGTGTGAATTATGTCCAGCCATGATCAACGAGTACAAAAAGCAATCCTTCTGAGGTCAGTTTTCAAAGGAAAACAAGGAAAAATTATCCTAAAAGTTAACTTACAGATTGAAAAAAAAAGGTATTATTCGACATAAGAAAAATCGAATGAAAAGTAAAAAGCTTTTGGCTTGGTTTGGGGCAACGAAGCCATTCAAAATAGATTATTTCACTTTCTTTAATAAATATCGTTTCATTAGCTACTGAATCGACGATATGGGCAATTTGAGATAGTTCGAATGTGCAAAGAACATTAACAAAGGAGGACATCAACAAAACAAATATATAGTTAAAAGCGTACTAGGGGCATGTGATTATTGCTGAATTAAGGGCATTCACTCTTCTTATCAGATCCAACTTTCAAAATATTGAAACAAGATGACACAGGCAATTACTCCGATTTTACATCATTAAGTAAGGAGTCTGTAGTAAGAATTCATTCAGTTTAGTCCTATTGACCAATGCTACTACGCATGGAGCCCACCGAATTCCGTGGGACATATGGATTCAAAGTTCGTGCACCTGATCTATGCAATAATTTTTCGAGTTTGATGCATCTAGTTTCAATAACAGATGTGACAGAGGAAGAAGTGAGAAGCAAGTGGTGCCCCGAAAACTCCTGGAGTTGTAGGCTTTGCAGGAATCTTCTTTCAGACTTTTTGGGTTGTAGCTGGGCAAAATTACATACAGCAACGGAATCACCATGTGTAAAATCACGACCAATGAATTATCTTTTACTTGAGCGCATGAGTTTCTCCTCCTCATGATGTCCTTCCTGGGGTTTAGTTTCCTGTTTTGACAAAGATATCCTGCATCTGGTTGTTTGTTCGCCACTTCAAAATTGACAGATAAATAAGAAGTATAAAAGAACACGCATTTCAGAAAGTCATGGGGTATAGCATCTTTCTTATGACACAAGTTTGTGGTGGTGGGCGCTGGCAAAACTTCAAAACATCCTATTGAGTCGGCACTGCTTATTGACATCGCCTCGTCCACTGTAAGTTTTCCAATGCTCGACAGTTGATACACAAAATCTGAAGAGAAGGGAAAGGAGATTCTTCACTTTGAGGAGGTGCAGCCTCATTGGCATCCTCTCTCACTTGCAACAGTTGCAAATTATTACACTCTGGATGGAATCGCTGACGATTGTTTCATCACAGACACTTCAGTTCCAGTAAATTCTTCAAAGTGGGTTTCCTCAAGTTCGTGAGACGAAGAGTGGGAGACAAGCAATCACATGGAACCTGGTTAAAGTTGATGCTGATAATTCTTTATTCGACCATCATCTCTCCGCTTCTGTTCACTTCATCTTCTAACGCTAATTTAGCTGCTATTATCTTTTCCATTCCATCGCAATTCTCAACAACATTATCTTCCGTGTTAGCAAGGAGTGATCAACAGACGTAAAAAGCTCTTGATTTTCCGGCATTCTCTGATCTTAATAAAAATAAGGTTGGAAAAGATGTCATTGCCAGGAGTTGGCACAGGCGATGGTGGAATGGCGGCTTCTTCTTCTGAGAAAGTGAGAATTCAATGAGGGCTCTCCATTCACTCAGTCCTCTTGAGAGTTAAAACACCCCATTTGTGGAAAGAGGGTGTGGTACCGTGAAGCAGAACACAGCAAACAGATATGTGCGTAAATCCTCCACAACTCTTGATCGCGTATCTCTTCAACTTACACAAGTTAT